ACCTGGAAGGAAGTGGGGAGGAGGGGGGCTGGGGAAGGGGGAAGGAGGGTGCTCAGAAAGGTGGGATCCGTTTTGCTTCCTATCATCGGGGGCTGCTTCTTGCCAATGTGGTGTTAGCACTTCTTTTGGCTGGAGGACAGGCCTGGCCTAACACACTGCGCAGTTCAAATTCTCAAAAAGAGCTTTAAGCAGGCTCACTCAATTATGGCCTGGCAACTACTTCAGGACAATTTCAAATCATTTAAAATTAAATATCTAAAAACCTACTGAACTCTATACATGAACCCTACTTTGGTCTTGAGTTTTCCTTTAGGTCTTGATTCATAAAGCTGTTTGGAATTAAAACTCAATCTTCCACGCTTTTCCAGAGAGAACCATGCTTAAAGAACCTCTAAGCAGTTCTTCCACAAACACTATTTTCCAGGTGGATAGTGCAGATTACCTTACAACGCGAGTTCTCATCTTGTCCCCTCACTTTGGCCACCCCAAAATCCTGCTCATTTTTCAGGGAAGAAGACTGGAACACAGAGACCTTGATTGGATCAGCTGCCCAAGGCCATGGACTGGAGTCAGGCTGGCGCCCTTGCTCTGTCCCTGGATCATCGTATGTTGTCCCAGGACGGCAGAAGTGCAGAAAGAGGAAAAACCACCCCCACCCACAGCTCTTTGGAAAACAACAACAACAACAAAATTACATCCTCTTCTTTTTGTGCTCTTGATTGTGACTTTTAAGTTGCTCTCATTTTATCCACCAAGTATTGACTGTGTTTTCATATCGTAACGACCCAGTTTGCACATCATCTTCATGAAACGTTAAGACTTTGTTTTGTCTCCAGAGAGCCACCTCGTCTGAAAGCACCCTGGTCCTTTCTCAGCACTGGTCCCCATTGTCACCGGGCCCCCTCCCTCCCTGGAGCTGGCCTATCCCCTCCCACCTTCCCCACCACCAATACCACCACCACCGTTTAGCAGCTGGGAGTCTGAGGACCTATGGGAAATTAAGGACTAATTTTTAGTTAGCTTTATGATGCTCAGAGACAGCCAGAACCCAAGACGTTCTGCGTCTGTGAGCTTCTTTGAGCAACCACAGAGGACCGGCCGTCCCCTCCCTGTCCCTACATGAGGCTCTGAGGATGCCACCCCCACCTGGCCCTAGTTCCTCTTCTCTCTGGGGAAGGCGAGAAGGTGTCCTGTCTCCCAACTCAACAGGGGAACTTGCTGAGGGCAAGACTGGGCCGCTCATTCCTGTGCTCCGGAGCTGCAACCCTGAGCTATGGAGCTACCAGCTTGGGTTCAAAACACACGTTCACTGTTCGTTTAATAACAAATATTTTACAGGCATGCATGTCTATACTCATTCGTTTGCATGTGTTGAAGAATAGCCCCTGTGCTGGCCACATACTCCATTGTATGGATATTCCATCTGCAGAGGCAGTGTGGGTGACCAATAGTTTCTGGAAGGGAAACTTATGACTAGTCACAAGCAGTAAGCTTGAGGTCCTGAGACAAACTTTCTGGAAAGTCCTCCTCTATCCCATTACGTGAAAAGCAAGCAGGTTCTCCCCAGGCCCCCTGTACTGTGGGGCTTCACGCCCAACACTTCTGAGGACGCAAAGGACAGGACCACAACAGGTGGCCACCACCCCCTTCCTCTCTCTTATTCTCCACCGATTTTCTTTTCAACATCATGAAGGAAAGGGCCTTGAAGTGCTCTGGCCCCAAGCAAAATATCCCCCTCGAAGGTTTCAAAAGCTACTTTTATGCATGTTATAGATGATGGTTGTAAGTGGATTTGAAGTCCCTGTGATAGTTTGCAAATGTCATGGTCAGCATCTGAGTGAGTCAAAGATAGGTGGACTACGATGGTTCAGGAATTAGCTCTCGGCCAGCATTCACTGGTTTAGTCTCCAGGCTCTGTGCGAAGGTGGGGGTGGGCCCTGACTCAGGAAGGGCTCTGTGGGAACCAGCAGAAGTGGTGCTGGGCTCCTGCAACATCTCTGTGCATCTGGTCTGTGCCGGGTACCACGGGAGGCAGAAGGAACAGAGATGCACCTCACCTCGGGGAATTCGCGGGTACACAGACCATCCAGCTTTCCCTCCGGCTCATGCTCTATTTCTTCCATCATTTTTTTTTTTTCAAGTTTGAGGTTAACTTGCTGATGGAGAGATTTTTCTCCCATCGGCAGCTTGGCAATCTATTGAATTAAGTGAATGATCAAGTCTGAGCTAAGTTTCAAAGGCAAGGGAGTTCATCTTCTGGGCCTTTCTGCTATTTTCATCAGCTGCTTCTTACCCACGTGCTAAGCATTTCCATGCAGCCTCATCTATCTTTTCAATAAGAAAGTCGGTGGATAAACTAATTCACACTCAGGTGGGCTGTTAAACCACAGAATGTTGGCAGGAAAAACAACACTCACTAATAAATCATATGATGGTAAAGTTCAGTGCAGCCAGTAGGAAGATGTTTGTGGGGTAAGGATAATCCCCATCACTCCATGGATCATACAGCACAGACACCCATTATTAATGGCTCTGTACAGCCAGTACCAGGTGAGAACTAGAAGGAATTCTTTCCCATCACAACCCAGGCAGGAGAATAGAGACTTTTTTTCTTTTGACCAGTGTTCATTGGTTCAAGGATCATGTTTCTGATCAGATCTTTAACTTCTTGCTAGGTGTTATGCATCTAAAAGGGTTTATTTACTGAAAATTTAGTATCTCATATTTATAAATAGTATTTGGGTGTACGATGAGTTCAAACATTTCTGCATGGACTTGGTGGATAAACATGGTGTTCAGAAGGACATCTCTGATGCATAGAGGAAGGGAATTCAAAAGAAGCTGGCAATGGATTTCAGCAATATGGATGGCATGTTCCAGTAAGATGTTTGTCAGGCTAGGTGTGCAAGTTTGTATTATCACTCACAGTTATTCACCCCTCCTCTCTCCCAGTGAGAGACACTACACCCTAACTTGTTGCCACATGACCCAAGGTAGCCTGATCCATGGCAGGCTCGTCTGCAATTTAGAAGGTGAGTGCTGCAATGCAGAGCATCTGAGCAGATGCTTCAACAGTAACTATGGTTCAGCTCTTCTCTGCATCGCGCCTCTGCCATGAGAAGGTTCTGTCCCCCCAAAACTCGGCTCTCCTCTTGGAACGTCAAGGCTAAAAGCCACGCTTCTCCACTTCAATACCCCAAACCTCAGCGATGCCCTTGGCAGCAATGGCCCTGAGCAGTGATGTATGCCCAGCCTGAACACTGCCTAGTGGAAGCGCTGGGAAGACTTCACTGTGAGGTACAGCTCAGAGTTCCGTACAGAGCCCTTACCTGAACATTCCTCATGTAACCTTCATTTCCAAGAATACTCAGGACCGAAAAGGAAACTGGGACCCAGAGGGGTCGGCTCAGTCAAGGAGATGTCACGGTCAGTGACCAATCCGAGATGGGACCCTGGGCTCTTAGGAAGTGCACCCCTCATCTAAAATGGGGAATAAAAAGGTTGACCACCAGCTCTTCATGCTCACTCCACCTTCACGAGAAAATATTGGAATAAAGTCACAACCAACATTTTCCAAACTCTATCCAATCAGACTCTGGTCTCATGAACTGCCCCGTGTTGGGGGGAAGGGCAAGAAGTGGGAGGTGGGGGTTCAAGGGGAAAGGTGAGAGGAAGAGAGCTTCCAACTGTGTTCAGGAAAGTCTGCATGAAGATTAAAGGCTCTGAGAAGTCCTGCAGTAAAGAGAGATGGTGAACCATGTTGATTCATTATATTTAAACTACGTATCTCTTCTTCTGTATCGACCGATCCTTCCTGAAGCACCATCCTGTGCACAGCATGCTTTCCCAAATAGCCTTCCTAGCCACTGTCTCACCTTCATACTGCATAGATAGGAGGTCAGTAAGTATATTATAACCCAGTCCTTACACTTTGGAAATGCATGTCATTTTTGTGCTGTGATTGACAGTGAATCATTTTTCACAATCATAATAACTCCATTACTGTGTATAGGACCTAGAAAGATTAAGGCGTTACGCAGCAAGGATAGTAAATGTATGAGAGTCTTCCAGAACTTTTAGAGATTTTAGCAGTCCACTTGAATGGAGGATTTATTCTCCACTCCGTGTGAGGCTATGGTCATCATGAAACTCCTGAGTACTGAATTCTAACCATATCATTTAACTACTGGAGGAAACTGCCCTGCTCCAGATTAGTTGAATAAACTGTATGTTGTTCTTCAAACTTGTATCTAAATAGAGCCATGGGTTCTGATATACATTAAAAAAAAGAGAGAGAGTATTGCTTCAGCCTGTATGTGTAAGAACAAGATCATTTGTGAATATTGGGATCAGGAGAAAAAAGAAAATTCACATCTTTAGTCCTGACATAGGCACCCTTAAGAAAATTTTGTTACTGATAGGAATTTAGTTGATTGTATTTGCTGCTTAATTGTGAAGCATCAGTGGATAAATACTATGACATGGGTTTACTTGGTTAATGAGAAAAGACATCTGATTGTTTGTTCACAGAAGTATCCATAACTGAATAGGTAAAATCTCCCTTTACAACAATGAATAATCTTCACTGTCCTTTATTGAATGAAGGAGAGATAGAAAAGCCTTTCTCTTGGAGCCATCCATTGCAGAGAACAGCCTCAATCTGAGTAATAGATTTAAAAACTAAAAATGAAAAGAGTTCTAGGCAGCAACTGACAAATCAGTCTGTGCTGAAAACCTACCCTTAAAATGAACATTTCTTCATTGATTAAGATCATTTAGCGGAAAGAATCTGGATTTCTATCTCTCCTGCATCCTTTAACTTTAGTCATTATAGGTTTATTTCACTTCTCAAGGTGGGAGGACCAATCAAAGGTCAGCTTTGAGAACAGGGGTGAACACAGCACAGCTTGTTTGTTATCAGTTCACTGTTTTCTCTTGAAATGGACTGGAGGGGTGCTGTTCGCCCCACTTTTTCTGGGGGCAAGGTTTAGGAGCAGAGCATGGAAGCCTTCGGACACCCTCCACCCTATCCTGCCTGCCACTTTCTTGCTGCTGAGCGTTCAGCAAAGCGCTTCCCCGTCGTCTTTGCTCAGATGTGGAGGTGGGCCCACGCTGGCCTCACGGAACCATCGGGAAGACCCGGGACCTGGACTGTGGACAAGCCTAGCACAACCCTCACCGGGAGGCAGCTCCTGATGGGCTGCCCTCTCCTCGGGGTTCTTCCACCGCTTTTATCCTGATTGAAGCCATGGTTATCTTCAGCTCTATTTCCAACATTTTCTCTCATTCCGTCTAAATCAGTGAAGCATTTTCCTCACTCTTGAAGTCAAGAAAGAGAGCATTTCTCTCACTGCTTCCTCTAGAACACGAATGCTACCAGAGATCCTCACCAAAGTCTCTAAGATGAAAGCGGTCCAGTGGACAGTTGCATTTGGAAACCATGGTAACCTTGGATGTTCACACAGTCTACGGATATGCAATAAAGGCTCTGAGAAGTCCCATGGGGAAGGGAGAGATACTATAGATTTGGGGGGAGGATTTTAAGAAAAATGGAGCATTTTAATTTTTATAACTGATCTCGCAGCAAAACTTCTTGAGCTCAATTAGGAAGAGCGCAGTTTTTTAAATTCTCAAGTCCTAGCTCAATAAACGAAGGGTCAAATTATTTCCTTTGTAACAGACTGAGACATAATTTACACACCATGAAATTCACCTTTTGAGTACTCAATTCAGTGGGTTTTACTATATTCACAGAGTTGTGCAACCAGCACCATATCTAATAGAATCTTTTCATCACTATGTGAAGCAAACCTGTACCTCCTCACACTATCCCTTCTCCAGCCCCTGGGCACAGCTCAGCTGCTTTCTGTCTCTCTATAGCTTTATCTACTCGAGACCCTTCATATAAATGTATTCTTTTGTGATCACTTTCCTTCACTTAGCATAATGTTCCAAAGATCGACCATGTTGTAACCTGTGTGAGAACTGTGATCCTCTTTATGCTCAAGTAATATTTCACTATGTGAATATACAGTATTTTCCTTGACCTTTCATCAGTGAATGGACATTGGGCTTGTTTCCACCTTTTGGCTCTTATGAATCATGCTGCTGTGGACTTTTGTGAACAAATCTGTGTATGGACACATGCTTCATTCCTCCTGGATGTATACCTAGGAGTGGAATTGCTAGGTTAAAAGTTAACTCTGTGTTTAACTTTTTAAGGAACTACCGAGGTGTTTTCTAAATTGTCTGCCTTGGCTTGATCCCATTTGATTTTAAAAATTTGGCATTAAATATTCGGATAATGCAAAGCCTTGCCAGGGAATGTAGAAACCGGATCTCTGATTTATAGTGGGAAAAAGTGCTTCGTGGTCAACCCAAATGGAGCAAAAGAAGCTCCGAGTTCAGGTTCTGCAGGGCAGCCCAGCATCTCACTGCATTTCACACACTGTGAAATCCTGACTATGAGAAAACAGTCCCTGCTTTCAGGATCCACTTTAAGGAAGGCTCACTGGGTTTCTGCCCATTTTCCCGTTGAAGTCCTTTCCTCCCACAACAAGTCATGGTGGGTTTCATGAAAAGTGGTCTTAACTGACCCAGCAGGGTGCAAGGATTCTGTACCTGAAGGATCCTGAATTAGGGTCTGGGGCAGCTTCCAGTATTTCTCTCTGCTCTGTCATCTCTGTCATCATTTTATTTATATCAGTGCCTGAATAATAGCACCAAACAAGCCCTTGCTTCAAATGCCTGGGAAGTGCACATGTAAAGAGAGGAAAAATCTGGGGTCAACACTCCAGAGATGCTTTTAATCACCCGCCTCTCGGCCTAGAAGAAATCTCTAGGTTGCCACCTTGCAATTGCTTCTTGATCATCCTTTTGTAGTATTAAGACATGATTTTAGCCGATGGTACAGATGTAAGTAAAACATAAATAAATGTATTTTATTGAGATCTGATTATTAAAGATTAAAGATTGTTACTCATCTGTGAATGATACACAGAGTAGCTCTCTAATTACCAAAGTTGTATGCTGAAGACAATTTGGAATTTTTTTTTTAATGTAAGCTACCATTTTAACTGTTAAGATGCAATACACATATTTCAACAATAATTAAATTCACCTTTTTATAACAAGAATAAAGATGTTAGCAGTATTAAGAAATCCCATCTTTCTCCTTTTGCCTTGACTGTCTGAAGGCTGGAGACCCATTAGCAAGTAGACTATTAAAATGCAAATCGGAGGAAACCCAAGTAGTTCAGTCTTTGAAACAGAAGGATGGCTACTTCTCCCAGCACATTCTGTTAATACTTCAGCCCTGCGATGAGGCTGGTCCAGTTTACCCCACAATCACTCTGGTTCTGAAATGACCAAGGTCTAAGAAGGACTACTTTCAGCTTATAAGAAGCCCTACTGCAAATTCTTCAGTGGTGTCTAGACCTGTCACAGCACATAGATGGCTACCAGGAGATAAAATGACCCCAAAACAGTTGACACGTCAGCTCAGTCTAGTTAACAGCAGGTAATACTGAGTTCTCTATTGCATAGCTCCGTGCCCCTAATAACATGAAAGGAAGGTCTCCCCTCCGTACTCAATCTGCTACCAGGCAGAAACATCAGCCACAGGAGAATAAAACCCCAAGTTAGCTACTTTCCTCATTTGTCAGTCCCTTGTAAGGAAATTTTTCTCTTTCACTCTTCCACTTCTTGAAAATGTAACTACAAACTCTTTAATCAGAGGACTGGTCGGGATCACTGTTTGGGAGTCACGTGTCTTATTTGCTGATCCTTACTTTTCTTTCCGAGAAGGAGTAAGAAAGCCAACACTCAGGGCTCTGTCAGTCTGATCAACATCTCCCAGACTAGCTTAATTTCCACTGATGGAATGTTTTTGTTTATGATCTTTCAGCCAATTATTATTCAATATGCTTTCTTGGGAGACTGTGAAATTGAGGATAAATGCATACGACTTATTGGATGTGAGCTGTAACTTCTGCGAAACCAATGACATATGGTATGATTTGAGAAAGTTTTCTTGGCACATTGTCAAACATATTCTTGAAACCTGAAAAATTTAGTCAGTGATCTATGTACTGAGTTTCAGTGGGGCTTTGGAACACGAAAGCCCCACCGATCACAGTTATCTCTGATAACTCACTTAGACTCTGACTTGATTTTCAAGGTGTGAGAAGCCTGAGAGACAATTCGGTCTAGTGCCCTCAGAGGAACAGGGGTTTCTGTGTCCCAGAATTCTCTGTGAATCTGCTTCCCATTTATTCAGATGCTTAAAAATCCTGCATGTTAAGTCTCAGAGTTACTTTAGAAGCATTACCTTTTTCTCAAGTAATTTTACAACTCAATTAAAAAAAAATCCTACTTTTACTTCTTTACTTGTGACCTTAAATATATAAACCTATTATTTTTGAACAGATTTGCCTATACCATGAAGCTTAAAAACCAGATGTTGTAAATAATAACTGTAATTATCTTATTTTTTTACTTTTGAAAATGAATGGTATATTCGTGTTTCTTCACATTTTGGTTCTTTTCTATACAGTTGTTGCTGAGGAATCAGAAGAGGACACAAGGGGTCCCTAGAGATGGAGAAAAAGTAAGGGATAAATGTAGCAACCGTTCTTCATTCAAAAGGCTGTGAAGGATAACAGTGATTTCAGAAAACCTCTCTAGAAGACCCCTCAAGTCATCAGGTGGTAGCCAGGAGGGCAACGATACTGAATAGTGATCAAGTGATTTTGTGGAAAGAAAACTGGGCCAGAAGAAATCAGCATGCACCCATGATGCGGCCTTGACCACACGGATGGACAGATGGCCCTCGGAGCCTGCAGGGTCCTCCTTGTAACCGGCCCTCCTTGAGAAGGGCCGGGCAGTCACTGTGAGGACCTGTAGAACTCTCATTGCCTCTTAGAGCCTGTGACATGGGACCTTCTAATAGGTAAACCATTTCATAATGAGTCCCTCCTGGTCCTTTAGTAAATAAGTCTCTTGGGAAGAAGGCCAAGAAATGGCAGCCCTTCTCTGAGTTTATTTCTGGACTGATTACCACCTTGCTTAATTAAGGTCTAGGTGTAGAGTTGGCTGGAAGTGTTTTCAGAGGTGTATATCCAAACTGGGGGGAGGGACATATTAATTTTTTGTTTCTTAGATAAAATATTTCCTCCCTCCTTCCAGTAGAGGCTTGCTGTGCTTTTTAATGCATCCTGCCTCATTCAAGAAACCACCCAATGACCGGAGAGCCCCTTTTCAAGTACCAGCAGTCAGGACCCAGGAGAACCCCTCCCTGTTTCTCCTGCTCTGGAGATGCTCAGAGTCTTTGGATCAAAAGGGAAGCACACAAGCAAATGAAAAGATAAAAGCCGCCCTCCCAAACACCCTAGGTATAAGACTTAGACTCCATGGGAAAATGAATTTCTTCCATATTCAATCAATATTTAATAAGGAGAGGAAAGGAGCTCATTACAAAGACCCTCTTGTTTCTCCACAAGTCATCTAAGTGAGGATTCCAGAATCTCAAGGAGCTAAGTGCTTAATTGGGACATTATATATTCTCTTTGCAGCCAGCGAGCACACGCCATGTCCCAAGCACACGCCTCAGCCAGCCTTCCTGTGGTCCGTGTGGGGCTGGCCGCGGGCAGGCCCGGGAGGGCGTGGGGGTGCGGGACCGCCAGCTCCTGGCAGCAGCTGGGTGCTCGGAGAGTTGAGCGGTTCGGCAGGCACACCCTCGAGTTTCCTTTCCAGCCTGAGCATTGCTAACTAGCTCGCACCGGTACCAGGCTTACAGCGGGGGGTTTATGCCACACCATCTATATCCCCCCTTCTTAGCAGCGCTTAATGAGTTGAAGAGACTGGGAAGTTGTTCCCAGCCAAGCCGATATCCTATGAGTTATAAATGACATTTCATCCTCATATGCAGATTTCCCGCTCCGAAGTGAATTATTTACAAGGTAGAGCTCTTGGGTTCCAACAATCAGCTTCCTGAGATTTACACCTACGCTCCAGTCTCCCCGCTCCTGCTGGGAGAATGTGACGGTTCCCACTGCCCTTTCAGATCTGAGGGTGTAGCGGAACAGAACGGCTCTTCTTCCCGAGGCGGGCGCTCTCTTTTCTGGGACGGAAGTGGGAAGGAGGAGGAGCCAGAGGGTGAAGCAAGGCATCGAGAGGCTGACCTCTTCCCGCTCTAAAAGGATGCCCTCCTACATCCCCTGCGACGAGGAATGCAAATGAAGACCACTACACGGGCTTTAAATTCTGGGAGACCTTTCTGCAACATCGAGTGATTTTGTAGCCTTGTGTTTTAGTTAATTAGTATAATAATTTTTTCCAGAATGTGTGAAAATTCAAATTTTCTCATAACAAAGGCACTATGTCCTCCAGTTTGTTCTAACTTCTGGGGAATAGAAGAGTTTGATGCATCCTTTCTGTCCCCCAGTATCTTTGGGGGTTGACAAGCCTTCCAACTTGGAAAGCGAAGAGTCTAGATGATGAAAATACAACAGTCCACAAATCCATCAGTGGAACCAAAAGATCTCAGAAATGTATTTAAGTTCACATGCACTTGTAGTCTATGATAACAGTGGCATTTCAAATTAGTGTGGAGAGGGGTTTGTTTGTTTGTTTGTTTTAAGTGCTTAAAGAACAATCAATTACTTGTTTGGAAAAAATGTAAAATAAAGGTTCCAATACTCTATGCCACAAACAAAATCAAATTTCTGCTAAATCAAGACCTAAAGATAAAAAATTAAAATCAAAAGAGTTTTGGAAGAAAATATGTGAGAACATTTTTGTAATCTTGCAGCAAGAGTAAACAACGTGAAACAATGGACACAATGACATATTTGGCAACAAAATATTATAAACTTTTTTCCAATAAAACCAGACTAAACAAAATTAAAAGAAATCATGACATACTGGGGAGGGGAAACATTTGCAACTAATCATTAGTATCCCATATTCAGATACACCCAACAGATCAAAAGAAAATAAATCTCAAAAGAATAAAGAATATGTGTAGGTGAGAAGAAGTACAAATGGTAAACAAAACTGTGACAAGATGCTTGGCCACTGTGATGAAAGGAATATGGAAGTAAATAATAATAAAAATACTTTTTTTCCAAATAAGATTTTTAGATGTTATGTCTTTCTGGCACCAATTGATATTGAGGATGTAATGAAGTCTGCATCTTGACAATTTCTGGCAGGAACAACCAAATGACCCAAACTTCTGGAGGATGACTTGGCATCATCTGATAAAAGATGACGTTTGCCTACTCTTTGACCACACAAGCTCACTTTTGTGATTCTATCAGAAAATAGAAGTATAATAAAGATACACGTACAGCAATATGGATTGAGTACTCTTTGCAATAGGAAAGGAACTATAGTCTAATTATCTCTCCATAAGAGTTTAATAAACTATGAGAGGTGTATAAAATGGAAAGCCATTTTCCCATTAAAATCTGGAAACAACCAAGCTTCCATCCACAGGGCAATGGTTAAATAAATTGCAGTGTCATCATTAAATTGAATAATGAAAAGTGAAGTGAAAGCATTCGTTGCTAAGTTGTGTCCAGCTCTTTGCATCCCCATGGACTGTAGCCCACCATGCCCCTCTCGCCACAGAATTCTCCAGGCAAGAATACTGTAGTGAGTAGCCATTCGCCTCTCTAGGGGATTTCCCGATCCAGGGAACGAACCCAGGTCTCCTGCATTGCAGGTGGATTCTTTACCAATGAGCCACCTGCGAAGCCCAATAAACTATGATAGGTTTATAAAATGGAATGCCATATTCTGGTTAAAATCTGGAAACAACCAAGTTTCTATCCATAGTTGTTGTTCAGTCTTTAAGTCGTGTCGACTCTTTGTGACCCCATGGAGCTCAGGCTTCCCTGTCTCTCACTATCTCCTGGAGTTTGTCCAGCTTTATGTCCACTGGCTTGGCAATGTTATCCAACCATCTCATCCACAGAGGAATGGTTAAATAAATTGTATGTCATCATTAAGCTGAATATTATATAAGTATTAAAAAGCATGGGATTGAGCTACAGAGAGAGATGAAAGGATGCATGCTCTGTACCAAGAGAATAAAGTGAACCACAGACAAAGGAGAGATGTCATAGATGGATAAATAGATGATGGAGCAAAGTTAGAAAATAATTATGTAGATAAATAGATAGTAGACAACTTACTTGATGATCGTCACTGAAGGAAATGACAACCCACTCCAGGATCTTTGCCTGGAAAATTCCAGGGACAAAGGAGTCTGGCAGGCTGCAGCCCATGGGGTAGTAGAGTTGGACATGACTGAGCGACTTCATTTCATTTCACTTCACCTCTGTTCTGGGAAAGCTCCCAACCCCCGTGCAGACCTGGGGTGTTCTTCCCAAGACCCCTGTCTCCCAGAAGCCCCTTCTTCCTCCTCCTCTGATCTGAGGAAAGGCTTCCTTTCCAGGAGGCAATAGGGCACCTGCAGGTACATCACACATCTTTTCAGCAAAGCCCACACAGAGCAAAGTTTCCGTCTTATTCCTTCTTGCAGTCCCAACCCCTAGCACAGAGCTGGGCATACAACACGTGCTCAGTAGAGATGTGCTCAGTAAATAGAAAAGCAAACCTTAAAAAATAAGTGAAAATATTTTGAGGCCAAAGCCCATTCATTACTTTTCTTTAGTGCTAAAAATGTTTCATCCTTTGGTAATAAATTTTATTTCTATAATCAGTACATACTGGAAACCCATAATGGAATAAGTGTGGATACCCATGCTATATAATCCCACTGAGGGAAATAGAGAGTCACAAATACAGAAAGAGAGATAGAGGGGCAGACAGGCAGACTCTTAGAAGTTGTTATTCTAAGCAGGTTGAAACAGGTGTTTGATTCGTTGCAAAATAAACTTTTGTTAATTTTGTGTCCTAGAGGAAATGCTATGTGGAGCACAGCATTCATGTGAATGTTTATGTGTCAAGTTTATTTTATTGATTCCTTAAATACATTTGGAGTGTCTCCCATTTGCTCATGCCTGTTCTGGACAATAGAGAGAATGTATGAAAGTAGACAAGTGTCTAAGGAGGAGACCTTGGGGAAAGAGGACGTCCTAAATCGAGGATGGACCTGAACGAAGGTCCTGAAACTGCAGGGAGCCTGTCAGAGTCCAGAAACTGTGGCGTGTACCCTGTTCGGCCTGCAGATTACAAAGCAAGTGATGCTGAGAAATGCACAGGAAGGGTGAGCAGACCTTGCCAAACCATAAGTGCTCTCACATCCTGCTTCTTCCTGGGAGCCCTGGGAGTCAGCAAAGGGCTCTCAGTCCACGAGTGACATTGGATCCCTGCTCTGGCGAGAACAGCTCAGAAGCAACTTGGAAGCTTATTGGAGGGGCAAGATCAGAAGCCCCCAGAGCTGATGGTTAAGTGCCTCCTCCAAGATACATCTTAGAGGCCATCTGCTGGAGGAGGGTAGCTTCAGAGGAGACAGAGGAGTGGAAAGCAGACAGCATCGCAGGTGTGGAGAGCCCACCGTGGCAGAACCCAGAGATGGGTCGGTGCCAATACAGAGGGAGAACGGGATGGACAGCTACCCTACACCCCTGGGGCTCCAAAGGAGAGCAAAGGAGCGTCTCTGGGGGGAGGGCGGTGGGAGTCCACCTGTACCTCCTGACCTCCAGGTCCCTGAAGAACACTCCTCTGCGTGGAGGGACCAAGTGTCATTGACCAAGTGGCATCAGTTGGGATCTCTGGAGGCCAGACCTCGACAGTTCCCAGCAAGTGTCTTATGCGTCCCCAAGTGAGGACAAGAGCAAGCCCAGGACAGGGAGCGTGGTGAGGCTGTGGCAGTAGACACAGAGTTAGGGATGTGGTGGGCTTTGTGGACTGAAAGGTCAAGTCCCCAAAATTCCTCTGCTGAAGCTTCAACATGCAACATGATGGTGTTTGGAGATGGGCCTTTGTGGATGATTAGATCAGATGAGGTCATGAAGGCGGGGCCCCAGGATGGGATTAGCATCCTTATTAAAAGAGGAAGCAACCAGAGCTCTCTCTCTCTCTCTCTCTGCCACATGGGGACACCGTGAGGGGGGGCCGTCTTTAGCCAGGAATCCAGTCTCCCCAGGAACCGACTTCACCAGCACATTGAACAGCCTCCAAGACTGTGAGAATAAAGGCCTGTGGTGTTTTCTTAGAGCGGCCGGAGCCAACTAAGATGGTCAGGCTGCAATGGATCCGAATAATGGTTAGGATTTCAATGAAGTTAGCAGCAGAGGGGGCTTCCTGGGCGGCTCAGTGGGTAAGGAATCCACCTGCTAGTGCAGGAGACCCAGGTTCGATCCCTGGGTCAGGAAGATCCCCTGCGGAAAGGAAAGGCTCCAGGATTCTTGCCTGGAGAATCCCATGGACAGAGGAGCCTGGTGACTACAGTCCATGGGATTCCAAAGAGTCAGATACAACTGAGCAACTGACACACACAAAAATAGCAGCAAGGGAACAGCCGAGGTGGAGAGAACACGGACTCCTGGTCAAAGAACAAGGGGCCCCGGGCAGCTAGGAATGTGTCGGGTACAGCTGAGCTCCTGGAAGTCTGTGGTCAGTGTCCCTGACGCCCTGTTTGGGGTCCATGTGCAACCAGCTTTGCTGTGGCTTGAGGCCCAGGGGGCCAACCCATTCTGGGGATATTGAATGCTAGAGCAGCAGGAGTGACTGTGTCCAGGTGCCCAGCGGTGCTTCCAAACCCTGGGACCTTCCCCGATGACGGTCATCACACTGAAACTGTCACCCAGCTCCCAGAAGCATCCAATGTCAGACCAGCCCTCTCTCCACAAACCAGGAAGATCCTGCCAGAGAAAGCAGCAGGCAGCAAAATAGACTTAGTATGTGGTTTGGGGATTCCCTTTCCTTCAAAATCCAATTAAAGCCCAGCAAACAGAAAACTTGCTTGACTGAGGTTTTACAAGGAAATTGGCTATTTTATTTAAGCGTTTGTTTTACATTCACTGGGGTTTCATGTTTCTTTTTTTCTCTTTCTCTCTCTTCTTTCTTTCCTTCCTTCTTTCTTTTCTCCCTTAACAAATTTGCCTGCACTCAACTGTTACAGAGACTCCAAAACAGGGGGTTGAGAATCCTTCTAAATAATTTTTGTTTTCAGAAGCACATGCACTCTCTTGGGGAATTTCCGCTTCACATGTTTGAGGCCAGGGGATGAGAATGGCATTGTGCCTGAGACCTCAGGAGGCCTTGGGCCCGGGGGCCTTTGGAAACTTGCATGCTCTGATGTCCAAGTTCTGTGCCAAAAACAAGTCACTCAGCCCACAGCAGCAGAACAAGTGTAATGATTCGATTTCTTATAGCCACTGTCACCTTCATCTATATATTTGCTGGTGATTTATTAGGGCCTGTTCCACCTGTCTCCGTCTGCAGGAGACCTTGTATTGTTGAATTCTTTCTGCAGCGAGGACAGGAATGAAGGAGCAGATGGGATTATGACTTATTTTCCAATGCTGAATTTATAAAAAGATCTTCTGTCAGACATCGACGCACAGCAGTTTGTGGGATGAAATTAATCCTGTGAATAAAATCGCTAACCTCACCTAAAATAGGTGCTTTATTTAAAGGAGGATCGATGAGGCTTGCTAAATATTATTTTTAGTGTGGATAAAAGCTTTTCATAATCCCAGGCTGCAAACATTAAATAAATGGACAGTTCTGGGTGTTCTCGCATGCTGGAGCTGGTGGTTGATACCACCCATGACGCCGGTCACCAGGATGCCCCAGGCCTCTGTTCCCTCCAGCTCAAGCTCAGAGCAGGAGAAACACTTGTGTTCCATGCATGTCAATCTACACTGTGGGCACATCTCGCAGCATCGTCTCCCAAGGAGGATCGTTTTCGACTTAATCTGCGAGATGTCTGGCTGTGTAACAAAAATCTCACTCAAGGCTGAATGGCCCCACCCTAGACCCTTTGTTCTTTGTCCAATAGTTTCATGGTTCTGGTTTTAAAAGGAACGCTGGCTAGTCTAATACTTTGGTGCTGATCCTTTGTGACAGGTGTATAAACAGAGTTCATTTCTCAGGTCTCTACCTTGACATCCGTCAGTAGTCCTATAGATGTGGCTGGGAAGGGCTGCTTTTGTGGCCTTTGGTTTTGGGGGTCTGGCTCTTGATGGCTTATATGGTAAGGAATCTGCCTGCCAGTGCAGGAGATCTGGGTTTGATCCCTGGATCAGGATGATCCCCTGGAGGATGGCAGGGCAACCCATTCCAGTATTCTTGCCTGGAGAATCCCATGGACAAAGGAGCCTGGTGGGCTACAGTCCATGGGTTCGCAAAGAGTCGGACACGACTGAGCAACTAACACTTTCACTTGTGAGAGGATGATTCGAAAACTCCTATACTGACCCTGAACCTCAGATTCCTGACACCAACAAACAGTGCTGATGCCTGTGATCAAAAGGCTCAACCTCAAAAACAGGAAAACTCTGGAAAGAAGTTTAAATTCAAAAACAAGGTTATTGTTGGAAATAACCTAAATGTCCATGGACAGATAAATGAATAAAGAAGATGTAGTTATATAGTCCATTGTGTATATAGTCTAAACACAGTGGACTATTACTCAGCCAATTAAAAGGTTGAAACAATACCATGTGCAGGAACACGGATGGGCCTACAGATTATATAAGTGAAGTCAATCAGACAGAGACAAATGCCAAATGATATCACTTATTGTGGAATGCAAACTATGCCACAAATGAATTTATCTACGAAACAGAAACAGACTCATAGACATAGAGAACAGATGTATGGTTGCCAGGGGGACGGGGGTGGGAGGGGATGGGTTGGGAGTTTGGGATTAGCAGATGTAAACTATTATATATACATGGAAATGCTGCAAGGTCCTACTGTATAGCACAAGGAACTGCATTTGATATCTTCTAAGGAACAATAATGAAAAAGAAAAAAAACTACAAGTTCATTGAATAAAAACAAACACCATGTTTTATTCTAGCATCTTGATTATATCCACCAAGAAAAGAAAACATCTTTCCCCCTTTTGTCTCATATAACTCTCTACGTTTGAAGCCATCCAGGAATGCAGTAGAATTACAGCAAATGGCAGCATATTTCTCCCCCACGGAACTTCATGTTATGGATTTCCCTTCCCTGAGAAAAAGAACTTAAGGAGAAATTGGACTGTATAGAAATCAGCAAAACGTTGCTCTTTCTTTGAAAGGAGCCCCACGGAGGCAGGGACGAGCCTGTGACTTTCGCCGTCAGAACGTCTGTTTTGCTCTTGAGTCTCGCTCACCCCCTCTCCCACCGAGGAACATTCTGGAGGAGAATGGCTGGGGCTACCAGCCCTGTGAAACCCACCCTCTGAGCAGAGACGCGTCCACAATGCACAGGACTTCTTCATTAGGACGTTAAGCCTGTAGTCATATTTTCAATCGCGGCTGTAGCTTCTTTTCCTTGCAAGTGCTTTCACTTATTTCGGCAGCACCTAAGGCCCCGTGCCGCACACAGCAGCACAGTTTGAGACATCGCTGTGATGTTCTGTACATCATATAGTTGCTAACAACCTGTCAAAGTCATCCTGACGCCAAACTGAGAAGCTGATGGTTTGGGTAACGTATTAGAGGAGATGAAAAAAAGAGAGCGTCCTCATTACTGTAATAAAAGCGGCAGAGACACGCCGAGAATCAATTACTGATTTGTGACCTAATGAACTCACCCTCAGTCAAGTGCAGAGCGGCACCGGGCCTCTTACATTATCAAATGATTTAGGATGGAGCGCTGTCTGGGGCCGGGCAGCCCGTCGAGGCAGAGCTGTTCTCTGAAATCGTCGCCGCCTTAATTACCTTGTTCCCGGGTGCAGAGATCAAATGGGGCGACTGGAGGTGCTGGAGCACGAGCCAGCTGGAGACGAAGAGGAAATCATTAACACCAACAAGAGCCACGTCGGGGCCGCGACACCTGGCAGAAGCAAGGAGACTCCGAAAGTCCTTGACTTGTCCCCTCTGGCCGCTGGGGGGCTGGGTCCAGGCAGGGGTCGGTGTGTGGCTGTGTCTGGAGGAGTCTGGGCAGGTGAGCCAGGTGTCAGATCCCCCAGCACAGACATCAGCTGGAGAGGAAAGGGGTCCAAGAATGTGTGTGCAGACGAGGGGCACCCTGATCCAGAGTGGATGGTGAGTCCACTGCCCATACTTGTGTGTCTCAGAGGAAAAGATGACAACTGAGCTTCTAAGTGAACACACACACACACACACACACACACACAATGTTCTCATCACTGGTGGAATGGCTTGGTTCTGCCTTTCAGCTCCTAGAGTCCTGTCCGGATACCATGTTCCTGCACGGCAAGCTGAAGCCAGGAGATGGTTGTCTGCAGCTGCAGAGGCTGCTGCCTGCTTGTGGCAAGGCACGCATTACCATTTCTTGAACTAAATCCTTGGAGCCATTTTCCATCTTCTCTGTCGCTGTGATGTCCTTCTCCTTACCCATGGAGAGAAGGCGCCTGTGTTCCCAGAGTCGCAGGTTTCTCCTGGGTTCGTTGGTCCCCGACGTCAGGGAAGAGCCCATGAGCTGGGGCACCGATGATGAGGATCTGGGCTTCAGGGTCACATCCCTGCCCCTCACGTGCCCCTGCATTGCTCTGCGGGCCCTGGGGAGGAGGGAGATGTCAGCACGAGGCCCTGGGAAGCCAGCTCTTATTCTGCTCACCGTGGGCTGAGCTGGCTTCAACCCGGCATCTGATGATCAGCCCCGTCAGCACCACACGTGGCATCGTCAGGCCCCGGTGACACTCAGGAAGGGGATACAGATGAGGACTCGTCCCCGAGAAGCCTCACACACAAGTGACTCACAGCTGGAAGTGTTTGGACAAAGCGGAGTTGGAGGAATGTGTCGTGTGGGTTGTATGCTCTCAATGGGGAGCCTGTGAGCAACGGAGAGCCCTGCTCTCTAGGGGAGCAAGGAAACCCCTTCTGCAGCCACAGGCCACAAGCCAGGTACATGCGTGCTCAGCCGCTTCAGTCGTGTTTGACTCTTTGTGACCCCATGGACTGTAGCCCACCAGGCTCCTCTGTCCATGGGATTATCCAGGCAAGAATCCTGGAGTGGGTTCCCATACCCTCCTCCAGGCGATCTTCCTGACCCAGGGATAGAACCTGGGTCTCCTGCATTGAGGGGCAGATTCTTTACCACTGAGCCACCAGGGAAGCCTGAACCAGGTACAAGGATGATCAGCTCCCCACTGGTTTCAGATGAGTCACTGGAAGCATGCTTGGATGGACGTCCGAGTCAGCCAGTTAAATGCAGATTCCGATTCAGAGATGTCAGCTGGGCCAGAGATGGTGCAGGTCCTGCAAGTCCCAGGCCGTGCCAGGCCTGTGTGGCATCCTTGAAGCAGCAAGACCTGTGAGCTCTATGCCTACCCCCAGCCCTTATCAGTAGGGCTAACCAACGTACTAACCAAGCCCCAGGAGCGCCATCATAATAAGTCCTACAAGCCAAGTACCCCTGCAAGGGAGCTGGATGCACTCAAAGTCCTTCAGAAAGAATCTGTTGCATTAGGCCCCATGGCCAGCTTGGTAGTCAAGACCAACCTTTGGAACAATGACCTTCCAGGCCCTCAAATAAGCCAACCAGGAGGTGGTGAGGAGAGGTCCCCAGGCGATGGAAGGCAGCTGTGACCAGGTAGGCACAGCGGAGCCCAGGCAAATCCAGCTCGGCTAGGGACCCTTCCCCACCTGCTCAAGTCTTATATTGGGTTGAGGCTGGTGTGGGAACAAGGCCTAGTCATGCAGCGTAATTTGCAAATCAAGAAACCAAGTGCCGATGGTGAGGCAAGAGGGTATCTGAACACCTAGCATCATGAATGGATGGAGCTGTCCGGTGTCCCCCTTTCTGAATGGCCAAGAATTCTGTGATGAGCAAAGATGGGTTTAGGAGGGAAGGGGGACCTGGCACAGGTCCTGCGGTACGCGGCGTCTTTGCGGAATGACACTCAGATACAGCCGGGTTGCCATGGCCCCTGGGGACTTGGGGCTGAGCCATCCTTCGTATCTGCCTGATCCTGCCCTCCTGAAAGCTGGTGATTCATTGGATTTAATATTGTCCTGAGTCTCACTCCAGGGAACACTGCAGGAATGTTTTTCAAAAGAGAAGCACAGCCATTAAAAACAATCTGCACGCCCCAGCCTATAAAAGAGGTTCTTTATTAATGACAGCAACGGCAGCCAAATGGTCCAACTGCTGTACTGTCTGAGGGGACCTGGTGGTTAGGGCCACACTTTACATGATTTTTACCTTTGCTGCCCCCTTATATCGAGGTCCACAAGGTTAGGGTTAGCATCCTCAATGGGAAAGGCCTAGAATGGGAGTTGTATCCTGCTCTCCTCCTCCCCCTTCTCTGCAGGGCCTGTAAACCCTGTCCCCACCCTCTCGGCAGCTCGAGTCCCCCCAGTTCTGAGGCTGGTTGATGGGAGGCAGCGGGGGACACTCAGGATCACTCCCTTCATTTCCTCCAAAAGCTGCAGGTATGTTCTGGTGTCTACAATCTCTCCAATTTTCTTCCAGTTTCAGCTGCATTTTCAACTTGAGAATGTAAGGGTGTGCCACCCACATCTTGACATGAAGTTTCCCTCCTCTGTCTGGGTTTCGGTTGTTCCCGCTGGTCTCTGGATCCCCACGAGAGGGCTGTGTCTTCCAAGATTCTGATGCTCCTGCCCACTGGCCACTTGGACCAAACCCCCAGGTCTCCCCTTCCTATCATGAGTGAAGATGTTAACAGAAAATGTACAGTAAGCATATCTTTTAATTCCCTTCTGATCACTTCTAAACACTGACAAGTATTTGAAGTTTCCACCTTCTTTAGGACAGAGGATGAGATGGTTGGATGGCATCGCTGACTCAATGGACATGAATTTAAGCAAACTCAGGGACATGGAGGAGAACAGAGGAGCCTGGCGTGCTGCAGTCCTTGAGGTCACAAAGAATCAAATATGAGTTAGCAACTGAACAGCCACCTCCTTTAAGTTTAAACAGGATGGCAGATTTTTGCAGAGAACACACAGTTCCTGGAGCTAATTATCTGTGAGGGAGGTCAATTTCCAGGTGCCAACCTCCAGAATGTCTTGGTCCCACCATCACCTGGAGGTGAAACTTCAGGAGGAAGCATCTTCTCTGGGACCCTCACGGTCACTCTGAGTCAGATACCCTGTCCATGTGCTGGGCCTTTCAGCTCTGCCCCATGGTCGTGAGCAGGCATGGTGTTTGTGGAAAACACAGTGTCACTTAGGAAGCCCCAGTCCTCTACACACATGGAGGATTCAGCTCTGACCTTGGTCCCTCAGATATTCATCGACCCCCCCGGTCTCTTGGCTCTTCTCTCCCTTCACTCACAAGACTCTACCTCCTTGGCCCACTAAACACTCCACCCTCAGAAAATCAAAAGCCACTGTTTTTCTTCTATTTGTCAAGGTATTACATGTAAATGGTAGAGTAGGTGTACAACAGTAAAAGACAAGAAAATCAAAATTCCCTGGTTATCCCAAGCCCAGAGATAAATATGAGTACCATTCTGGGGGATTACTTTTCAGTCCTCCCAAATTCTATTTCAAAAATAACACAAGACATGATGTAAGAGCTCTTAGAAGTTGTCAGCTTTGACTTTTAGAAGATGCTTTGGAATGTTGTGACTTTTCTGCTGTCTTTCGGAATATTCTGCCTTGATCTCCTGGACTGGGTTCTCCTCCCCCACCTGCTCTTCAAGTACCAGTATTTTACTGTGAAATAAATGGTCTTTTGTTCTGGGTCTACTTTCTCTCCCTAAGTCAGCGCACTCACTGCTTTGGCTTTAATTACTGTTTCTGGATGCTAACAGCCACCTGTTGTGTATCTTTGTTCTGACCTCTCTCTCAAACACTAGCATCCTGTCAGCTCACCTCCTAGATGTCTACACAGAGTGTTGAGCCAACGTGAACCAACTCATCTTCTCTCCACTTCTCAGGCGCCCGATCCTCCTCATCTCTGCTGAAAGTATCTTTCAGCAGAGCTTTCACCTGCTTTCACCCTGAAGTAGCTTTCACCCTGAAGGGTTCTCTCTTTTGGTTCCTCTGTTCTTGACTTCTTATCTTCACTGGGCTCATCAGATATTTTTAGCATTGCATTTTGATTCTTTTATAGACTTTTAGCTATATCACTTGCATAATTTTGGGGGGTTGCTCTATGGAGACACAGCTTCGTTCCCTGGGTTGGAAAGATCCACTGGAGAAGGAAATGGCAAACCACTCTAGTATTCTTGCCTGGAGAAACCCATGGACAGGGCAGCTTGGCGGGCTACAGTCCATGGGGTCACAGGCATTGGACATGACTTGGCAACTGAAACACCACCACCACTAGGAATTACGTTTTTACCGTTAAGTTATCCTGCAGGCAATATTGTGCTAATGCACATAAAATATTGGAGGCTCATAGCAGTTCCATCCTTTGTGCTACTGTTGCCACAAATACCCATCTATATATGGCATCAACTCCCCAATACGATGCTATAGTTTTTCTTTAAAAGTCATGTATCTTATAGAAATTAACAAAAGAAGCATGTATGGTGCACATACTTATGCTTTTATGCATGAATGTATACACATATATCCATATTTCTATATTTCTGCCCACATTCACCATTTCCATCCATTTTCATTTCTTCCTGAAAATCTAGTTACCAGCTGGTATCATTTCCTTCAGCCTAAAGATAAACCTCCTTTGTAGCACAGATCTGCTGGTAACAAATTCTCTCAGGTCTTTGTTATCTGAAATGTCTTCATTTCATCTTCTTTTGGGAGATAGTTGGGCTAGCTATAGAATTCTGGTTAATGGTTTTTTCCTTCTAGCACATCACAGGAGTTATTCTGCTGTGTTCTAGCCCCAGTATTTCTGATGGTCAGCCCCCCATGGACACCTGTTCTCCAATGTGTACAACCTCTTCTGCTTTCAGTATTTCTCCTTCACCTTTATGGCTTGAGAAGCTTGGCTTTGATGTGGTTCCCTGTCCTTTTCTTTGATTTTACCCTGTTTGATGTTTGCTGAGTTTCTTGGATTTGTAAATTGATATTTTACACAAAATCCAAACTCTCTGTTTGACAAACATCTGGCTCCACTCTGTATTTAAGGCTCTACTCCCAACTGTCCTATGTCATGTCTTCTGCATTTCATCCTCCAAATGCAATGTGTAATTTAATACCTCTCTGCTTCTGCTGTGATTTCTACTCAAAATGACCATTGTCCCAATCTGTTATTAACTTACCAATACCCCACTATCTTACAAAAGCCCAGTTCAATGTCTCTTAGCCTGTGTCTCTTTCCCACAAATGCCCTAGAAATGTGACCCTCCAACTGTATGATTTCCCTCTTTATTACAACGTATGAAATACATCATTATATTTTTATTATTCTCCCACTTGGCTCTTGCTAATGACAAGAATTCTCTCTTTCTCTCCTTGTGGCCCTTATACCTTGCACAATGTCAAGCACATCATATGTATTCAATAAATGTTTATGGGCTAATTGGATGAATAAATGAATGAGTTGAACTTACTTAAGACCATGAGGTAGTGTTTCCAGGGCTCTTTGTAGAGAGAAATAAAGTGGCATTTATCCTCAAAGTTTAACTCAATGATGAGTAACGGTGTTTAGATTTTTATTGAGGACATCCAGTTCCCTAGAAATCTTCAGGGAAAAGCTCTCAGGTAACTCATGGTTTCTGAATGGAGGCCAAGAATGAGTTTT